GTGCTTCTTAAAAAGTGTCCTCTCGATTGTCACTTTAGTTTCTTCATTCAGACAATTTCATTGCAGTCTCCAGTTCGTCTCCACTTATTCGTCTTCCTAGCGCTTCTTGTCATTTCCGTCTGATTTCTTTCTATGACGCTTTGCGTAGTCTGCAGTTTGTGCGTAGCTTTCAGGCTTAGGGTCCTAGTTTCATACCCATAGGTTAGAAATGGCATCAAAAATTGATAGACAACTTTCCGTTTCAAACACGGCAGTTTCCTGGATGGGAAGATTTTCAGTTTTCCGAAAGTATTCCATGCATGCTTGTTCTTCTGCTGATTTCACCTAGTCGGTTTTCCGTTGCAGAGACGAGATGTCCCAGATAGACATAGTTTTGTACTTCCTCAAGCATGAATGCGTTGATTTCAACCGGTTACGGTACTACATATTCGTTAAAGATTACCTGACTCTTCTATAGGTTCAATTTAGATGTTGGATTTAGATCTTGGCGTCGTTTAGATGTTGGATTTTTTGCTGCAGTTCTTCTGATGGCATTCAGGGGATCAAAATAGCGTCCTCAAACTGCAGGGACCAATTGTGCCCATTTATCTTCAGCCTCCGATTTTCTCGAAAGAATGTCTTGGAAACCTCTTCTAGGACTTGTGTGAATAACTTCGATGATATTGGATTGCCATGTCGAACGCCATTTTACGTTCTGGCAGTCGCGTTCTTGTAAATCATGAAAACGAGGTCTTTCTTTTCTCGTTTCCTCGGCTCCTCAAGGAATCCAGTACAGAACGACTGTAGACTGAGTCGAAAGGCTGATCGAAATCAACAAACTTCAATCAGGAAGGAAGCTGATATTCGTTACTTGTCTGAGTACCTTGCTGGCTCCTTTGGCTGTATAGCGCCCAGTTTTTCTTAAAGTCTGTTCCTCAACACCTACACGATCTTGTAATTGATTGGCAACAAACTGGTCAACCTGTAGTTCTCCAGATCCTCGCTGTCTTCCTTTCCGTCCTGTTGAACCTTGTTGAATTTCCGACGT